AGTCCATATCAGGAATTATTTCAGTTTATTCCAATTCAGAAATAGATTTTGCTGATGCTTTAATAAACGAGGAAATCGCCGGGTGTGGTGGTGCATGCCTGTAATCCCAGCACTGGGGAGAGGCTGAGGCAGGAGCATTGCTGTGAGTTCAAGACCAGCCTGGGCTACATAGTGAGTTCCAGGTCAGTCTCAACTACATAGTGAGACCCTGTCTCAAAAAACAAAAAAAGCAAAAAGAAAAACCAAACAAACAAAAAATAAATGAGGAAATCAATTCTTGATAAATCCTTTCTTTGTTTAAAACCTTTCCAAATGCTAAGTCAACAGTGGAAGAAAATACAATTTTTAGTATGGTTTGCTAGATTTTTCAGTAAGTTATCACAGCTGGGAAGAGATTTCATTCAGTTCATAACCACATAAACGCTTCATCTCTAGCAGGTTAAAATAAATTTGTCATTAAATATTTACATTTCCATGACCCTTGCCTCCATACAGAACTTTAGAAGATCTTGCCTATTTCAAGTAACATTAATTAACAACTCCGTGAAACATGGTGAAATGTGAGCACTCCTGTTGCCCTTGTTCATAAACTCTAGGCTCTGAACTGCTTTTACTTGCTTCTAGATATCTATGTTTGCATGATCTCCTCTGCACACAATGTGGCGGCACAAGGGAAGTACATTGCTATTGTTAGTACAACTGTGGAAACCAAGGAACCTGAGAAAGAAATCAGACCAGCTTTGGAGCTCTTGGAACCAATCGAACAGAAGTGAGTGTTGTATTCATTTATGTTGACTAAATATGAACTCGGGTCTTGATTGTGGCTCTGCGGTGGGGTGCATATGAGAACCAGGAAGGCGTTTTGTGGTTCCTGTGTGAATGTCCTTACAGTGTCTTATCTCTGCTTGTTTTAGTCATTTTCCTCATTTGCTGGGACACAATTCCTGACACCTGAGACTTAAAGGTGGCGAGGTTTATTTGGTTTTTAGAGGGTTCCATCCATAGTAGGCTGGCTCCAAGATGAACAGTGTGCTGGAAGGGCCTGGGTGGAGGAAAGCTGCTCATGTCGTAGTGCCTTGTAGAAGGAGATGCACCCTGTAGGTCACACCTGTAGTGACCCATCTCAATAAGGTGTCACCGCCTAGCAGGACAGCTAGCCCCTCCCTGATCATCATCTTCCAAAAGCCCTACCTCTGAGTAAGCACATGAGACTCTGGTCATTCTTGGTCTAAACCATAACACTGCTGGTACCATCTTAGTCTTGAAGCACAGAACTTCAGGCAAAGCAGTGACCGAGTGTGGGGCCAACTAACTTGCCAATATAATTCTTTTCCCTCTCTAGATTTGTTAGCACCAGTGACCTCCTTATACCAAAAGACTTGGGAACAGACAGCCAGGTGAGTATGGTGATCTGAAAAGAAACATTATTGAGCTTTATTGGGAAACATCTCTAAATATTCTTGTCTTTGCAATCTTTATTCCCAGATCTTTATTTCCCGTGCATATGATGCTACAACTCACTTTGAGACAACCTGTGATGACATCAAAGACATCTATAAAAGGATGACAGGATCTGAGTTTGATTTTGAGGAAATGAAGCGCAAGAAAAATGACATCTATGGAGAAGACTAACGGCAGTACATGTTAATATCTAATTGGGACAAATTAAAAATTTGGCAAATAATACATATTGTATGAAATCAATATTGTAAGGCCTGCTTTTGTAATCACAATGGAGATTGAAGAGTGCTGTACCAGTGAATACTCCCCTTCATCTTTCTAATCTTATGTATTAACTTTTCATGGATTGGCTGTTCAGATTGATGGGAACTTGTTCAGTTTAACCAAGGTGGCTTTTTTCTAGTGAAGAAACAGTTTTAAAAAGGTGGTGATACCAATTCAGAGAACTTGATACAGTATTTGTATCTTTTAATCAGTGTAACTTCGCAGTTTTGTGTTTCTCCTGAAGAGCTGGAACCATACAATGTGTGCCATCTTGACATTTGTGAGACTAAATTGAATATTCCTTATTTTAGGACAGTATCCTTAAGTTTTCCCTATAGGTATTTTGTGTTATATCAAATAATGATGGGCAGGGCCCAAATAGTATAGCCACAAGTTTGGTTCATGTGGACATGTATTTCTATCCAAACTCCATGCAAAGGAAGAGTTTGGAGAAAGCCAGTATGTGTTGTTTTAACCTAGGAAAACTGAGAGAAGGGGAAAGGAACTTAATCTATAAAGCAGGTAAAATATAGAAGCATCTTCTGTATCCCAGGTGTGGCATCTTCAGTGGACCAAGCTGCAATGCAGTATTGATTTGACAGAGCCTCTACTTTAATGATGTCGGTCTCAGAATGGCTCCAAATGATTTCTGTACTGCAAAATAAAGCCAAGCTCTGGAAACTACCGCTCTCTGTGTGGTTCTGTTTGTGTCCTGATTGTGAGGGCCACAACACAACTGCTGTGTGTTGCATTCAGGAGAGCTGGCTGAGAATGATGCCAGAGTCAGATATGCATGTGGAGCTGGAGCGTATACAGTTCTTGATCAGGATGTGTCAGAGTGGTTCATCTGTGTCCTCTGACTTCACTGTGTGTTAGCAGACGTGCATTTTATACTTGACAGCATGGCTGCTGAGACACTTTTTGGTAAGGTGTGTGTGGTACTGGGAATAACTCGGAGTCTCGGAGACTTTTTTTGTCTTAAGACAGAGCCTTGCTAAGTTGCCTTCCGCCTGAGCCTCCCAAAGTGCAAGGGTTACAGGAGTGTGCCATCATGCCAGGCCTGACCTATAAGCAACTTGGGTTACAACTCGAATTTTAGTTTTAACTTACAAAGTCTTGAGGTATGACCCAAATGCTGGTCTTTCTTGTGTGGGGTTGAGAAATCCTGGGCAAATGTCTCTAAGGACACAGAGATCTCCCTGGAAAAAAGTGGCTAAAATTCTACAGGAGAGACTTTGAAGGCTGTGTAGTGGAGCTTGAGTCAGTTGACCCTGTGGTTGGTGATACCGCTAGAAGCAGGGTTCACAGGCAGGTAGACGGTGGTGATGCTGAGGAACTGGAGGAGAATCCTCAGTGGAACTGTCTGCAGAGGAACTGCAGCAACTTCTGGCTGAGCAACAGAGAATGGCAGCATAAGTGCTTTCTGAAGAGGAGGGGGAGTGTCAACAGTCAGTGCAGCAAAGTCCTGAAATAAAGGAGATCCTGAAAAAATGGACAGAGCTACAAACATTTGTAGAGAAGACCCACCCAGAGAAAGTCACTGCATTTAGTTGCTTACTGACCCTGTCGTGTCATACCACAGAAGTGCCGAAGAGACAGAAACAGACAACCTCAGACCAGTTTTTACTTCTGAAAAGGTTGAGACCTAGTGAGTCATAACCAGGTCCTAGTGGGCTACAGACTTTCCCAAGGCAAAAAAAGGACACAAGCGAGCCAAATTCCTGATGTTCTTATGGAAGGGGACTCTCCTTCCCAACAATAACCACCTTCCATTTTATCCTCCCTTCCTGCAAGCCAAAAATGTCAGTTTGCATGGTGAGTACAGTATGAAATTGTTGTTTCTGGTAAACGGCCCATTTTATAACTTTGTGGTAAATACACTATGAAAATTACTGGTTTCTGGTAAATTACGCACATTATACAACCCTTTTTAATTATGAAAAGGTTAGCTGAGGTTTGGAACACATGGGTATTTCCATTATTTAAGGGGAAAATAGTCGAGTTGCAACCAAACAAACTGAATTCCTAAATTAAGGGTCCACTGTATTTTTTTCCATACAAATAAGTTATTGCCATTGGTAAATGTTTATAAGCAATTATAAACGAATTCTTTCATAGGTACGTAGGTAACCATGTACTTTAAATGAGAGAACTATTTTTTGCTGATACTGTCACCTTCATAATATGAAGCTTTACTATATATGTAGCTGCTTACCATACTTAAAATATATTAGGTATGAACTAGGGAAAGTAGGTTACCTGGTAGATGGACTAGGGTGATGATAATTTGTTATTCAGATTGTTTATGTGATCAATGGAGTTCCTTTGCTTCCCACTACAGACATTTTAAGGCAGATCCTGTTGTATTGGGGCTCTGGTGTACATCAGAAACCAACAGCACCTTCCTAAAATGACAACCTAGAATATCTTAGAATCAGATGCCCCAAGATGACAATCACTGCTTTATATACCTGAGAAAATTAGGTTTTTCACTTCCTATAATATTTCTAATTGTGAACTGTAATGCTGGCAAAAGCAGGAGCTGAGTTAATAAATGAACCAAAAGAACAAAAGATTTTCATATTCTTCAACATACTTAGTAAATTTCATGTGCAGGCCTCGAGAGCACAAAGGTGCAATTCTCTAAGGAAGTTCACAGTTGAGGGGAGACATGTTTTTATAGTATGTCAGCTTGGAAATGGAAAAGGATGGCCTTTTTTGGTAAACATTTGAGGTATAACTAGTACCAGGCAGACAGTGTTTGGCAAGTAGTAGGTGCTTAACAAATGTTATTTTTCTTTTTCTCAGTTATTTCAAAGTAATTTACTATACCAAATATAGTTATGGTCCCCAAATAAATTCTTGTTTTGGGGGAAACACTGTCAGTGAAAAGTGTTGGTAGTCCTTCTCTTGAAAAATACAGTAAAACGGGCACTTTCATTAAGTAGGAGAGGAATAATACAAAACAGTTAAAATGGTTGCATAGAAAGGGCACTTGAAATTTCCTGTCTGAAGCTCGCTATTTGGGAGGGGAAAAAATCACGAGATGCATGTGGCAGGTTTGTGGTAGATCGCTAGATCAACAGAAGCCAGGCCAAAGGGATCTAATGGTAGGACTCCCCTGGAAGCTAGCTAATCGCTAAAATTGCCAAGACATTTCACACACGTTTAATTTTTGCTAAAAAAAAAAATCACTTGAAAGAATGAATTTTAGTTGTCTTTATTAAAAAATGAAACAAATCAGTTATAAAAAACCATTGCTCCAAATAGATACTGTGCATCTTTTACAAATCATTTTTACATTTTAAAGATTACTGTAGAAATTACTTCTAATATCATAAATAAATGATTATTTGAAGTAGTGTAGTAACTAAGTGGAAAAGTTTATAAATGGGTCTCTTTTAGGAAAAAAAGTGTAGTGTTGCTTGTTTTACAGCAAATGAAACCATTTTTTAAAAATTACAGTTCTATACAAAAGTGGTAAAACTTTTTTTTTCGTACCAGGGATTGAACTTAGGACCTTGCTCTTGCCAGGCAGGCGGTGCCACTGAGCCGCATCCCCAGACCAAGGGTGGTAAAACTCTGAAAACACACAACATGCATTTCATATGCTTTTCTGACATTATCATGCGAAAAACAACTATTTTCTAAAACACTTATTCTTGCTCCTACTAGACATGTTATAAAATTCTTGTTCAGTTTATAGCTTTGAAGGTGTAATATTTCAAATGAAAACAATCTAAACAGTATTCAACACTGCAACCCAAAGTTAATGGCAACTAACTGCCATTGTAAAGTTAGATATTCTACCAAAATATAAAAAATGAAAACTTTCCAAGTTGTAGAACATTTGAGTTTTCAAATGAGGAGACTGCATCTTGTTTGTTTTTTCTTTAATAGAAAGGAGGAAAATACTGTTTTGTTGGCATCCTCCATTGGAAAGGTGCAGCTAAATTACCTGTATAAACACAAAATTGGTAAGACAAAATGAACAAGAAATATTTTACAAATGAGATTCTATTATCTAATGGGGCAAACTTCAAGCCAGGTTAACTACCTGTAGTAATTCAAAGTTGGTACTAGAGAATAAAGGAAGCTAGCAGTATTTCTATACCTTAAAAAAATGTAAAAAAGAAAGCATGTTGTATACTGTGAAGAGCAATTTTGAACAACTGTTTTCCGCAGACACACTCTAGTGTCTGATGCCAACAACTCAAAATGGGAGTTATATAGAAAGTGTTTGTGTTCTTACCAATAGCTGCTTCTAAATGGAGCTGCTATTTTTTGTATATTCTCAATGAAGTCATTTACATCTATAGCAAGGATTCCATTATTTCCGAAGATTTCACTGGAGAAATGCTTATCTGTAAAGAAGAAAAGGTTTTTTGGTTTGAAAAATGTTATTAATTCACGTGTTTTCTGAAGTTTTTGTTCAAGGAAAAAAATAAACCGTGGAATTCATTAACATATAAATAAAATGAAGAAGAGATGAAACCTATGTAGTTCAAAGTTAAGAAAAAAGAAGCTCTGGGAGATACTGCGTCCATAATGGGTGGTAGAAGAAACTGAAAACTGCTCATTGACCACTTCTGTAGAAATAAACTTTTTAAAAGCCTGGTTAAAATGAATAGACAAAAGTACTTACTGGAGCTGATGAAACATTAGAGGATTATTAACTACACGAATTCTCCATCTACCTGGACAGTCATCTTGGTTTTATGTTCATTTGTCAAAACTCACCAGGCTAAAAGTTTCTTTTTGGCTGCCAGCTGTGGTAATTTTGCACATAGTAGGAATTCAACATTTCTAGAGCACTGAAATTTAGATAGAACTCAGACTGAATTTACCTGTTAGGAAAACAGCAAATCTGGCATCAACATGCTGAATTTGTAGGTTTATCAAACATTTCAAAATTTCTGCTTTTGTTTGTGATCGGCAGTCACACTGATGATAGGGAAGCAATTCAATGATACTCGCATTCTGATATGATCTCAATATTAAGTTCTTTTTATGAGCAACTGAATCCATTCTGTGGAAAACAGGAAACTTAACAGCCAGACTCATCTTCAATACGACCTTGTGACCCACATGTATTTCTTAGTAAAGCTTAATTTTCATTTGTCTTATTTGTAGGACTTTATCTTGCTTTAATTTTGTGTTAAAAGCACAAAGAGATCTTGCTCTTTTCCTAATGTTCTTTTTCATGAAACACTAGGCCCCCTGTCACTACTGCTGTCAGTACGTTGCTTCAAAACATTATTACTACTGTAGCCACTCCTTTGTACACAGATTGTAAATTATCTATTGTCACTTCAAATCACATGGCTTGGCAAGCCTTTTATTGACCTGTAGTGGACATTCTTTGTTATTTGTTTGGTAATGTATCTCTTTAAAACATCTGTACAACCAGGTGTGATGCACACCTGTAATCCCAGCACTTGTCTGGCTAGGTCAGAATTACTGTTAGTTCAAGGCTAGCCTGAACTACACAGTGAGACCCTGTCTCAAACACAAAACAAATCTATACTTTTGTCCTGATTGAATAATCACCAACTTCATTAAATTTAGGCAGCAGCCAGAATGTTTTTAGTTTCTCACCTCCCTTAACATTGTTAGTATGTACTTTATGCATGCTGAATTCTAAAAAAAATTTAAATAATTTATACTAAATTATAGATGTGCTAGGGCCTCTCAGCTTTAACTGTTTAGTATTTTGGTGGCACTGGAGAATTGAACCCAAGGCCTATGCCCTGAGCTATATCCCCAGCCCCTTTTTGAGACAGGTTCTCAATGCATCACTATGCTGCTGAGGCTGGGCTGGGATTTATGATGTCTGCCTAAGCCTCCTAGAGTGCTGGGATTACAGCTATGTACCACCATCCTTGGCTGCACTTCTCTAGTTGTAACTGAAGTTGAAATTTTCCCTAAAGGGCTGGTTAACAAGACTTTTTTTTTGAGACAGGATCTTGCTATGTACTTCAAGCTGGCCTCAACTCTTGGTGATCCTCTTGCCTCGGCCTCCCAAATGCTAGGATTACAGATGTGCACCACTATGCTCAGCCTGGTCTTCTGAATTTCTGGTCACTCACTCTAGCCTGCTTATGCATTTATACCCTCTGTTCTTACCTTCCTACCAATGAAAACTATGCTTTCCTTCCTCTATTAACAACTACTCTCCAAGAGAAAGCCTTTCCTGAAATATTATCCATCTTTTTGCAAGAAAGAATTAAACCCGGGCCTTTAACATAGTAGGTGAGCACTGAGTTACATTTCCACCCCCTTCTAAAAAGTGTTTTTGAGACAGGGTCTAAGTTGCCCAGACTAGCCTCAAACTTGCCATCCTTGTGCCTCACCCTTCTGAGTTGCTGAGATTATGGTATGTACCCACCTATCTTTTCTTTTAGAGGAAAGTCATAAGTACTTTCACAGTTTCACCTATATTTATTCCTTGTTTGTTGCAGAAAGGAATAGGGTAATACAGGTAAAGAACTGTCTTTAGAGGTGAACATTTGGAGTCGAGGGCCATATTCAAAATTATTTGTATGACCACAGTCAAGTTTACTGCTTTCTAGGTGCTTCAATTTCTGTATTATGAAAGAAGAATCTACTACCTACCACCTCAGGATGAAGCTGAATGAGGTGGCCAATGTAAAAACACCAGTGCCTGACATCTCCACCAGTTCATGTCTTGTCCAATCTATGCTTTTCAAGACTGCCTATGAGCCCAGATTCCTTTCCCAGTCTTTTCTCCGGCCTGGGAGAACTTGGAGGCATGCCTAGATAGGAAGGAACCCCTAACAAGTGCTACTTCTCTTTGGCCAGGAAATCAAAATGTCTTCTTTTAAAAGTCACTGCTTTATGGGCCAGGGATTTAGCTGAGTGGTGCCACCACCTGCCTGGTACAGGCGTGGGGGGATCGATCACTGCTTTAGGCACCAGGGAAGTAGCTCAGCAGTACCATGCCTGCCTGGCAAGCACAGGGTCCTGAGTTCAATTCCCGATGCTGAGAGTAAAGAAAAAAAAAAAGTACATGACACCTAAAATCATTGCTTTACATGTAAACAAAGTCTTTTTGTAACCTCTTTTTTAAGGGTAAAACTGAATTAAGGCAAAATTCTGGCTTCTTTTTCTACTCTCTATAACCAGCAATTTAATATATGAATAAATATTTTAAAAACCCTAATGCATCAGGCCCATAGTTCAGTGTATTTTTTTATAGTTCATGATAGTAGAGCCTGAATCTTAAGTATCCAAAGTTTGACTGATTTATATTACCATAGAGAAGTGCTTGGCTCCCTCACTGTTACAATATACAGCTTCCTTCTTGGATGCCCTGCTACAGCTACAAGAAGAAAACACAATGCGTAACCAGACCTGTGCAGTCATGAAGGTGACTTCAATCCCAGCATCACTCACCTGGCTGGAGCCCTTGCAGTGAAATTAGCCTCGACCACATGAGCATGAGGGCAATTTCCACCCCCAGCCCTACACAGAGTTCTTACCTTACGTTTTCCTTTAGCTTTTTATTTTCTCTGTAGTGAAGCAACCACTTCCATCGTCCATTTCCACTCAGTTTTTCCAGGATTTTGACGATTTCCTTCAGCTGAGCTATAGAGTAAATTTAGTAAGAGATGTTTTAGAGTTTTTGTTAGCTGATACAAAGTTCAATAATTATCTCTTGTTAGAAATCCCACTGTTGAGCATACATGGGATTGGGCAGTAGGGATTCTCACAAGGGCACAATCTGTGGCCCTTCAACTTAGTCACGGAGCTCAGACGACAGTCAGAGAACTGTAAGGCAAGAGGAGCATGGTGTTTACCGGTAAAGCTGAGCAGATAAGTCATGTGAGTATCAGAAATGGGAATCCAGGGCAGTGTAGAAAAGGACGGTAAGGTTTCTAAGTGGAGAATCCCAGTTTCTATGCAGAATTCATGCAGATTAAAGTCGATCATTCTCATCCAGAAATATTTTCCTAAGTTCTAATGTGATCAGAGTTAGGACACTGTTACTGTAGAGCTGTGCAATAGTTCCCAGTCTCCTGACCAGTGTATGATGCAGGGTTGAAGAAAGACTCAAAGACAGAATTAAAGGAAAAAGCGGGGAGCCAGGATGGCCAGTAGGTCCTGGTCAGTCCAAGCTACTGATTTTTATTGGTAATCAGATTGAGGTTAGGGGGAGGAACTATGTGTGTGGACGTGCAATTGTGAACTGCTATGGATACTAATGCAGGCAAAGCTTGTAAAGGAAAAGACAAAGTGTTCTCAAATTAAGACAGAACAGACAAAATACAGGGTTGTAATTAGAACCTTGTCCTAGTAAAAAGCAGGTTTTAGTTGTGGAAATGGAATTTGGGTGTGAGTTACTCAAACAGCAGGAAGGTCATGCTAACCTGCATGCTACCTTGGTGCTTATGAGGTGCTTCTTTGAATCATGTAAGCTTTAGTTGGACTTGCTTCTTAAATTGAGCCAACTGTGGGGTTAACTCTTTTACAGCCTACACTGCTTACAGCCTGCTCTGGGGACAATGAATAAGGCAGTTGCCCACAATGTCTGTATTATATATAAAAATGTCTGCCCTGAGACATCTAAAATTTGTTACCAAAAGTAACAAATGGGGGGGCTAAGTGTGAAAAACTTCTTCCTCAAATCTTTATGCATGTGCAGTCACAATGCGAAGAAAGGAACTTAGAAGCAGGTTTGGTAATGAAGATAGCCAGTTGTAAGAAGAGCACTACTACAAGAGAATTACTACTTAAAAACTGCTTAGCAGGGTAGAGGGCATAAACTAAGTCCTCAATGTGCAGTAACTCATATTCTTTTTTTTTTTTTCCCAGTACTGGGAATCATACTCAGGACACTGCACTTGCCAGGCAGACTCAGTGCCACTGAGCTATATCCCAGCCACAGTAGCTCGTATTCTTTAAAGGTGGTATCTTTTTGATGAAAGAGTAGTGGGATCACTGGGTGAGGAGAAACTGACCAGACTAGACTGCAATAAAACAAAAATAAAAAATTAAAGACCAACCTAATGTTACAGTTTCTAGTATTTTGTCATCTGATACCACAAAGCCTCCTGTGTGGAACAACTCCTGGTGTGTGTCATTCAGAACATCTTCAGGGTTGTCTACTCCAGCAAAGATGACACCAGGGAGGTGCTTCAGCTTCAGCAGAGAAGGAATCTGTTAGACACAAAGAGACCCCATGAAGACAGGTGCATCTATTCAAGGATTTTGAGGCTTGAAACAGCTACACTGCCTTTAACCTGGGCTACTACCTGGTATCCTGGCTACACATAAGATTATTTCTTAGTTCATCATCTGTTGTTAAAAACATGTCAAAACTGATTTTTTAAAAATTCCCAAAGGCAAGAAATAATTATTCATAAGGGAAGAGTGCCTCTGAAGTTTTGGGTTTCTGTAAAGAAACCATCCAGGACACAAACAGCATCATTTTGTCTCCAGGTTCATGTCATAGCCCAACAGCCTATGTGTATGAGCCGGATCTTCTTGGAATAAACAATTATGTTTTACCAATCACTAAATCAAGAAAAATTTCATATATCCTTTGTGTATGTGTTATGTGTGTTAATTGGGGACTGAACCCAGGGCCTTTGCACTAAGCTACAGCCCCAGTCTTTATTTTTTATTTTGATGTAGAGTATCACTAAGTGACAGAGTTACCCAGGCTGGGCTTCACTTGTGACCCTCCTGCCTCAGCTTCCAACTGTGCTGGAATTGGTGTTTGCCTAGCTCCCACAAGTCCAAAAATTTTAAGCAAGATTTCTTATTGTTAGGGAGTGATGGATTTATACCAAGTGAAAATTTTAGCAATCATTTTTTTTTTTTTTTGGTTCTGGGGATCAAAGCTCACTTCTTTTCATAGTTCTCTCTTAGTTAATGAGTAGATACCTAACTATTATCTGAAAGTGCAATGGCACTGTATGTATGCCACACTGAGCTCCTTCCCTAGACAGAAAGGCAGAGAGGCAAGTTTGACACAGCAGAACTTCAGTGCCCTAGAACATGTACAAAGGATATTTGCAAACTTACCCGATGCAAATGTGATGATATATCTTCGTTTCTGATGATGACTATTAGTGTATCGTTCTCTCCGTGAAAAGTGTGACAGAAATGCTGAGGTTCAATTTCTGTATGGCCTCCTTTCTTCAAAATGCTCTGAAAAATTTATAAGTGGTCATTACTAAAAAGAGGATACTTGCCCTAAACTTTATAGTTTATTAAAAACAATCAAAAAAGCATATCCTGTTTACTAAATTATATCCTAACACGGCAACATAAATAGTAATTTCTTTTATTAGTAAAGAAGTTTTATAAATTAAAAATGACTTAGCTACAATTAACTAGATTCAGAAGTTTATTTCATAAATAGTGCAGTTTTTAATCTTTAACATTTATGAAATATCAAGAGCTGATTTAAAAAACAAAACAAAACTAATCTATGAGTTTCAATGGTGTGAGATACTTTGGGGGTGTCATATATTTCTTTTAAAATGCCACCTCCACTATCAAGACCAGCCTGGCCCACGCAGTAAGTTCAAGGCCAGCATGCACTACAAAGCGAGACCCTGTTTCAAAAAAACAAAACAAAAATAAAATGCCACCTCTCGTCACATTTCCAGAACTTTAAGAAATAATACCTATGCATTCCTTTATCACTAATAGGGACTGATTCTGGAGAGAGTCAACAGCTCTTTGGAACTGCATCGTTAAGTAAGACAGGTGGTAGTGTTTAAACTGCATGTGGTTACGTGGCACTGCTGTGACAGTTTGCTACCATCACCCAGAACAGCTATCCAATATGAAGCTTTACTGGGAATGTCCATTTGTATAATCCATGAATTATTCAACTCTACTTTCCCTTTTGACTTTGACATGTTTTTATCTGAGGAATTCTTGGTTTCCACGGCCTCAGTTATACCCAAAACATTGTCTGACCATCATTTATTTCATGTATAAAAAAAAAAAAGTAATTTTTATCCATTTGCCTAGGATTCTCAACAAAATTTGACTATCTCATTATAATAGATCCCATGATTTTCAAAGAAATGTGTATAAAATTTGTTTAATAAAGAGCCTAATGAAATATCTAAATATAAATCATCTGTCACTTGTAACTAATAAGCCATTAGAATGAATAATCTTTAATAAAAACCTATGATATTCTGGGCTGTGCACTCTAATTTCAACAGTAATAAAGCATCTTGCAGATCTTACTGATCCTATGAATAGACAGGCCTAGCATCTCACCACTAATTATAATGCTTCAAGACTTCCCAGGTCAAAAGAATTATCAAGAGTATGTTACTGAGCTCTTAAAAACTTTCTGCTCTTGATAGTATGTTATTGTCCAGTTTATTTTTAGTCTGTGTTCACTTTGTCACCTTAAGTTCAAATTTATCTCAGCACCAAATTTGTTACTGTTATAAATAAACAAACATAACTAGAAGTTCTTCTACTAAAACAGCATGGCTGTGATCTCCCTTGGATGTAAAAAAATCAGTATCACCTGCTCTGGAAAGGAAGTGAAAACTTAAGATTATTTTCTCTCTCTTTTTTTGGTACCAGGCTTCAAACTCAACCTTGTGCTTGTGAGGCAGCGGCACCACTGAGCTAAATCCAAGGCCCTCTCTTGCTTTTAAAATGGAAACAAAGAGGGTCAGGGATTTAGCTCAGTGGTTCCACCGCCTGCCTTGCAAGCACAATGACCCAAGTTCGATCCCCGGTACCAAAAAAATGGTAAACAAAGAAATCAAGTATTTTATTTATTACAATAAAACACGTATGTTCTCAGGATGCTAACTCAGCTGATTACTCATTCCTGACTCAGCCCACACGTTGGGGTACAGGACATGTAATTAATGTGTAACTGACAAAATTAACTTTAAAAGAGAAAACAATTAACTTCCAGATTTCTTCTGGAGGCCAAGTACTTTCAGAAAGACTGAGTGTTATTCAATGTTTTATCTTTTCAACTATACTGTCTAACAAAATGGCAAGGAGCCTGGAGCAAAGATAAGCAGATAGACAAGAAATCAAATCCAGCAGCCATTTATTAAGAACCTCAGCTAACAAAAGTATACTTGGCAGCAGGAGGTAGGGTGTGTGTGTGTGGGTGTGTGGGTGTGTGGCTGGGGGAGCAGTTATGTTAAAGAACAGATTCCGTAAATGTGAAAAAATTTAAATCATTTAGCATCACATTTGAATGACACAAAGTAGTAGCCATCTTACAGAAGAAGAAACACAACTCGCAACGAACAGCTTCACATTAAGGCTTGTTACCTGCCATTTTCCTAATTCTCCATTTGCAGAGGAGATTGCTCTACAATGCAAAAATGCTGCTACTAATATTTAAAAGATTTTTTTAATGGGTTCCCAGCGTCTTTAGGATAAAGTCTACATACTTATGTGACTCATGAGCTCACAAGCTCACAAACTCTGTGGTTACTCTTGCAGAACCTCATGTGTTCACCAGGTTCACATATTACTGAGAAGAGTGAGGCACATCAGGAAATGTTTAACCAGTTCTGTGATTTTTGCAGAGGCCTCCGTACGGATCTGAAGTGGTCTTGTCACGTTGCACCTGAGGGGCACTACAAAGTGCACTGTATGCATCCCTCATCACAGACCTCATAAACATCCTTGGGTGCCAAGTGGTAGTTAAAGTTCCATAGCAATTATACCTGCAAGGACTTACCACGCAGCAGATCCCTTGGAGTTAGTGTCACCAGAAGTGCTGACATGGTGAAGTATGGGACAGACCTAGTGAGGCATTTAGAACCAGTGCATTTAATGGTTAGCTTTGCATACGGCTCAGAGAGATCTGCTCTGTATCCCTTCCTTAGGAAAGACCTCCTGAACCAGGCCAATCACCTCAAAACATTGGCAGAACACCAGCATCACAATCTCACCATGGCTTTACACTGATTAGGCTGTAAGGATCAACACCACTAAAAGGCAACTCCCCACCCCATGCCGGGACTCTGAGAGAACACAATGGACAAAACTGCTACTGTCTGAAAGGAGCTTTCAGTTGCCAGGGTTGTAGGAAAGAGTAGTTCAAATACCTGGGTCCCACTTCTGGGTAAGGGTCCTAGGCAAGGATCTGATCATACATGGGGCAGTGGGAATGAAAGGAAGTTTATACAGTCAAAATAAGAGAATTCAGCTTTCTTACAGAAAAAGAGTTCCAACCACGAAAAGGAAGGCGAGCACATATTCTGTGTATCTATCCTGGATCTTTGTGCTGAGAGGAACTAGTAATAGTGACTCTTAGGGGCAATGGATTCCTCAACGCCCAGACCTGGGTTCTAAGTGCTGATCTTCTTCACTACGAAGACTCACAGCTCCTTAGAGAAATGGCTAACTCCAAGACGGGGCCAAGGAAAAATATAAGAGACACCTGGAACATCATGTTGTACCACAAAGTAAGGAAGTACCCAAAGAATTATAGAGACATCAAAGGCACACAAGCCAGCTCAATGCCACTCCCATGGCTGGGTCTGGGCCAATTTCAACCTTAAAAAAAAAAAAAAAAAAAAGAAACAGATAGCAATCTTTTGAGTATAACATAGATCATGGTCCACACTAATATAAGCGAATAAATGAATGAATGAATGAAGAAAAGTCTACCCTGCAGTAGAATGCCAATTAACAAATGTAAAACGACGAAAATAAAATATTACCATGTGGCAACCAACAATCATAGTAATAACTGATTCAGATTAGAATCGTCAATAGATGTTAAATCATGAAGAACTGGATTATCTATTTACATAGTCTCAAGTATCTTAATTGCTACTTACTAATAACTTTAACATGCTTGTTATTTAACCTTACATTCAGAAACTTGACAGAGATCATTTTAATGAAGTAAAAACATTAATACATCAATAAAGAGACAAACAGACATCAGGTGCCTAACACAATGCATGAAGAGACCAGAGTATCATATCTTGTCTAAAATGCACAAATAGTAAGGAAATAACACATCAACCCAAATTGAAGGAAATTCTATAAAATAGCTGGCCTTACAAACTGTCATGGTAATAAAAGTAATGGGAGAGGAACATGACCACAGTGGGATCTGTGGAGTAGATGATCATACAAGATTAATGTTATGGTTACGCTGTGATTACACAGAAGCATTATCTTATACACAGGTAACACCCACTTTGTAAATGGTTCAGAAATGTTGATGTTAAGGTATCTAGGTGAAGGGTACCATTTCTGCAAACTTTATAGCAATTTGAAGTTATTTTAAATAAAAGTGTCATCTATACTTCAAATACAGGAGAAGTAAATTCTGAGAAGATAAAATAAAAAAGCTAATGGTGCATTAAAGACAGATTCTAGCTTCTCCAAAGTCAGGAGTTTTACCATGGTTATATCACTTAAGATTAGAACATGTATGTACTCACAAAAACATCAGTTGTTCTAATAATCAAATACAGAAATACATACCCCTAACCAAGGTCTTTCTCAACAATACACACTACTATGGGAACACAGGTAATGAATTTTTGAAAAAAATCTGTATTTTAGTAGTAAAAATAATTTATATTTATACTTGATTATAAGTATGCCTATACTGGTACATGTTTGTGATAACTAGTTATTGCACTATTTCTGGAACATCATGTAAATATTTAAATATAGTAAAGATGGAGATCCTTACAGAAAAGACTTGGTATGCAGTTAAAAACTGAGCTATAAAACTTAAATACCCCCTTATACCATTTCATTTTAAAGCTGAAACTACTTTTATTATTTCTAAAATAACTGAATTAGAAGGCAATCAAGGTAACAGAAAATATAATAGCTGATACCTTACCTTTGTTCCTAAAAAGAATGGTTTGTCTCCTGTTTCAACAAGGTAGAAGAAGAAGGGACTCTTACAAGCCTCTTTCAGAATACTATTTAGTTTGGTATGCAAACTGGCACACAAGTCTGTAATTACGTCTTCATAGGAGGTAGACTGCCTTGGGAAAAATGGATGTATCTCTTGGGATGTGGCTTCTTCAGAAGCTATATTTAACTCTTTATCTTGGAAGTCGGCATGATTGCTGTTCATCATCACCTTATTGAACTCAGCATATTCATTAAGAATAAGTGAAATATTCTGAGATTCTTTCAAAGTACTGTTGTATTTCAATTTGTTGAGGTGGAATGAAACAGTCTCATTTCTTTGAGAATCTGTAAGATTTCTACTGTGACTAAATCTTTCCCTCCAAAAAGAGGAAGAGCTGTCCAGATCGCTGGGTGTTTGGCAACTTCTGTGCCAACTCTGCCATCCGGCGTCAGAGTGCATGACTGTTACCAGAATGGGGCTTCTGCTCCTAGGTGTAGGAAGCAGAACTGGGGGCTCAGACATTTCTGTGAAAGGGAAATCTCTCAATGAAATTTGCAGAGATGAGTCAGATTGCCGAGAACTTTCCTTCTTCACTAGTTGTTTTATCTTGTGTGCAAAACGCAGATACTCCAGGTCTAAAGTGTTCTGCGTGAGGTCATCTGCCACCTGCCAAGTGCTTGTCCAGGAGCTGAGCAGGTCAGAATTCACAGTGAAACTAGGGGGAGTTCTCACCCTATGCAAAGTCCTTGTTGTGTTTTTAAATTCTCTTGTTATAGTAAAGTTAGCGTAAGTCCTGGGGATACCGTGGCGATCTTGGATTTGGACATAATGTGGCATATGCTTATTTGCTTTCTTTAATCCAGTGGCCCAATTTCTGGGAGGAATGTTCATCTCCACCTCTGGAACTTTGTTAGAATAGTCACAAGCTTCATTATTACTATTATTTAAGCACATGAAAGAGTCACAGCTGTCTTTTACAACATGTTCATTTTTGCTAGTATAACTACTCAAAATGCCGGAATTTTCCATGTCTAATTTGGGATTTCTACAATTACTGAATGAGTCTTGATCAGTGTCTCCAGAAAGTTGTTCATACTGCATATCAGAATTCATATTCACATCTATGTTTCTGCCCAGGATTTTAGAATCCACCTCATCCCCATGGCCTTCACTAGCAGTCTTCCTGTCAGTATGCTCTTTAGAAACCCCATAAACAAGAGTTTCAACAGATTCTGGAACAAAGGCAGCAGGAGGTTCTTCACTGGCGTCTATGTTATTTTGGTACGAACAAACATATGTGGGCAAAAAATCAGCATTCAACAACTCTTTCATTTCACATACTGATGTATCCGAGAACAAGCAAACTGTTTCTTCACTTTTTGTAGAAACTGTGGAATTAGACTGAAGGCTGTTGGAACCCACACCTGTGACTTCAAGTAACTCAGCTTCAGCTCCAATATTCCCAAGCAGACTGGCCATTCTGATGACTGGTTTTTCCTGTGTCTGAAACCCTAGCTCTATACTTTCTGGTCTTGTACACTGTGTTAATGTAGCACTGTTTGAAGCAGAATCAAACTCTGGGATCTCTGGATGCAGGTATGCCTGTACTGTAACATCAGCTCCATCAATGGCGGCAGAGTTCACAGACTTAACCTGCATATGATTGCCACCATCTGTTTTCAGATTACCATTACAGAGATTTTCCTTAATACTTTCAGGGCTGCCCTGTTCTTTTAATGGTATATTCACTGTCCCACTTAGAGCAGTTGTAGAAACTAATCCATCAGCCAAAGACTTATTTTCAAAACTCTTTCTAGAACTAAATGAGGATTCATTCGATTCTAAGACAAGATGTTTTAAGTCCAAATTTCTATTCTCTATACTAATTGGCTGCAATGGGTTTCCTGATTTTACCAGTTTTTCGAGAGAAAGCTTGGAGTTATCTCCATAATTGGCAACTAAGCCATGCTTGTTTAACTCTGCATCATAGCACTGCACCTTTTCTGAGAAAGATAACCCTTCACCATGCTCTCTTGGGACAATTTCCTCAGTTATTTTACCAGGAAACATTAGTGTACCTTTTCCTCCTGGATGATCAGTTAATAGTAGAGGCATTTTAGCAGACAGCTGAATTTGCTGTAGTTGAGTTATGTTCTCTTGTCTCACTAGACGGGAAGGATCAATGGAAGAATTTTCTTTTTCTGTCACAGCTGTATCATTTGACTCAATCTGGGAGAATCTGTTACCTTTTTCACACTGTGTACCATGAAGTTTTAAACTACATGGAGACACAGCCTGAGGTGGCCATGTTTCTTCAGTTGGTACTGGGGGATCAGGACTAGAAGCTGGTGACACTTCTTCAATTAAAGAATCAAAGGGAAAGTCAGAGGTAACATTAATTTCTTCCCCTATCTCAAGGGTACAATTTTCTTTGGAAAGTATTAAAGTAATTGGTTGTAGACTATCACCTTTCCTCTCATTTTTTAGTGGTTCGTTTGACCCTGCAGAATAAACTGACATAGAACTCGGTGGATTCGCTTCTGTTTTTTCTATGAAGGTCACCTCTTTGGGCTCAATTATTTCTTCGGCTACATCCTTAAGTTCTAAATTTGATCCTGGGGCCTCCTCAAGTTTCTCTGTTTCATTAGCTGGCACCTTTCCCCTGGGACTTGTAGGTGGAGTTATTGTTAGAGTTAGGTCAATATCAGAATTTGCCTCTTGTAACTCCAGGCCAATCTCCTGCCCATTTATGGGTGAATTGGTTTGTTTGGCAAATACTGAATTAAATGATTCCAAATTCGTATTTTCACAGTTTAAACCACTCTTGTCATTTTTCCTTAGTTCTAAAGAGTCATCTGATATATTACTTTTTGGTGGAACACAATCATTGGAATACCTTTTTTCCAAGGAGGCAGAGACTGATGGTGAGACTACTTCAACCTGTGATGAATCTATAATCTCTTCTGAAGATATTCTACAGAGATTCTGAGTCTGCAGACAGATATCCTGAGAGTGTTTCATTTCTTTACTGGGTAATGGATAACCAGAACATTTAACTAATGATAATGCCTCCATTATCAATGCTCTATCAGGCAATGGTGATGAGACTGGAAGAGGCATCTCTTTCTGCACAAATAGCAGTTCTTCATCAAGTGTCTCTCTCTTTCCTGAAGAGGCAGAAAGGCACTGGGTGCTTCTCTGCCCTGACACTGCTAGAGATGGGACGTCCCTAATGGCTTGTGTTTGTACCTCTTCCAATGCAGTTACAGGGTGCCTAACATCTGCAGCAGGTGACACCTGGTTAATCAATTCCCTACTAAAGGCTACAGGTTTCTCAGCTCTATTTACTTCTGTATGTACTGGCACGCAGGGATTGTTTTCTAAAGTGAAAGTCACTGGTTCTAGGTTAATCATCACATACTCCATATCAGCGTCAGGCCTTTCCAAGGAGGACTCACACTCATTGTTCATAGGGCTGCTACACTGGATAAAGTCCTGTAAAGCACTTGGATTTGTTGGCACTGCTGCATGCAAAATATCAACTCTACTTTCAAGAGGGATATAAACAGACTTCTCACACATCTTGGACTGACTGCTGGCCTCATCACAAGTCCTGGTGAATGTGGCTTGTGTCCCAGCGCCATTATAAGAAACCATTCTTTTGCTATCAAGTGACTGAAAGGTTTTATGTTCATCAGAAATAAAAGGTCCATTAGTTTGAGTATTTCCAATAAGAGAAAGTGCAAGATTAGGAGCTTCTAGTTTATCTGCAGATTCTTGTTTAGCTTTCCCTCCAATTACCTGAAATGAGAAAAGTAAACAAAAGAAAATAAAACAAAAATTATCAGAGTCAAGCAGATTGTAAAAGCAGAAAAGACAAGGACTAATTTTAGTTTGTGTCTATTCTTCCGAATCTTCAACTCTGTAAGAGTATCACAGGGCAGAGATGAAGCAAATATCTTTTGTTTTGACATACTGAACTCAGGGCCTTGCACATGCTAGGCAAGCACTCTACCACTAAACTGCAAAATCAGCCCCATTTTATTTCTGTAAAAGTATACACAGAATAGAAGCCGGGCATGGTGGCACTGTAACCCCAACACTCAGGAGGGCCAACGCAGGAGGATCACAGTGAGTTTGAGGGCAGCCTAGGCTTCTCAGTGACTTCAAGGCCAGCCTGAACTATAAAGCGAGACCCTGTCTCAAAAAAAAAAAAAAAAAAAAGTATACAGACTAGAGGGCCAAAATTTTTTTTTCTTTTCTTTTTTGGTACTGGGGATTGACTTGGGACCTTGTGATTGAGAGGCAGGTGGCAGAACCACTAAACTAAATCCCCAGCCCCTCAAAACTTTCTTAAATGCACAACCCGTTGTTGTTTCTGAGACAGTCTTGCTACATAGTTCAGGCCGGCCTTGAACTCACCATGTAACCCAGGCTGGCCTTGAACTCATGGTGATCCTCCTGCTTCAGCCTCCTGAGTGCTAGGATTACAGGCATGTGTCACTACAACCAGCTATAGTTTTTAAAAATTGACCCTTCTTGAAGAAAAGTAGCTAGACCACTGACAACTGTCTTTGCTACATTTTGTCACTGAATTCAGATAGGTAGCACTAGAAAAATGGTACTCAATTTGCTAGTAAGATTACGAGACAACTTAAATTCAAGAATATCTTTTTAAACATCAGCTTTCAATTATTGTAAAGTACACCAGTGTTTGGAACTTTCCCATGAGACAGAGTAAATTAATTACTCAAGTAACTGATTCTGGCAAATTAAAGTCTGTTACCTCTTATCTATCTTCTCTGCTTTAAAACTGAGATAACCCTTATTGAATAACCCTTATTCCATAGAACAGAAAGTTCATCAATATAGTTTATCATATTATCAAATTAAAAGAATTTAAATAGTAGCAAGAAGAATTTAGGCTAAATATTAGCAGAACTACCTCAAGACAATGTGATAATCTGATAAAGAGATTGTTTTGCTTTGTTTAAAGCTTCCAGCATTGTCTTGTCCAGAATATGGTGAGATGGATAATTATTAATTTACCACATCTCTGCAATGTTGGGAACATTATGCTCACAAACTACCTGATACATCTTGGAGCAGAGGCTGGAAGCCAGCAACTATGCTTCAAATCTCTTGTTAAAAACATTTCTGTTGGGCTAGGGATTTAGCTCAGTGGCACTGCACCTGCCTTGCAAGCCTGAATTTGATCTCCAGTACCAAGAAAAAAAAATATGATAGTAATTTCTGTCTCAGTTGGGAGTGATGATGCCAGCCTGTAATACCAGCAGGCCAGGAGGCTGAGGCAAGAGGATGCAAATTTGAGCACAGCCAGGGCAACTTAATGAGTCCCTGTCTAAAAAATAAAAAAAAGAAAAAAAGAAGCTGCGGAATGAGCTTGGTGTGACGGAATCCCCAGTACCACAAAAGCAAAACCACTATCCTGGCTCCAGATCATCTGTGCCCTGTAATCGCTTTCTACTCCTGTTTTTTCAGTTAGGATGGCAGATAAAGTACCTGCAGACAATCAGAAGAACACTTTTATAAAAACTAATAAATTTTTGGCATTAAAATCCTTTAGCTGTAAAATTCACTTTCTCAACAGAGAACCATGTCTTATTTCAAAAATAATGCTAGCATTTACAGTATTCAATCTTACCTCATTATTATAAGAATAGATTAGATTCTGATTCTCTGAGTTATGCGGATGACACTCTGTTGCAAAAATTTCCTTACGTTCATTCTGCACACAGAATCCCAAGCCTCTGGAAGGTGGTACTTTAATGAGAGGTAGCAAGCAGTTAGGACCATGAAAGGATTCTTCATCACCATGAGCTCTGGACATTTCATTAGTCTCCAAAAGAGGTTCTATGGAACACCTTTCCACACTGGAGGATTCCTCAATTTCACTGAGTTCAAAAGATTCTAATGTGCTATTTATAGAAACGTATTTTGCTGGGTTACTGTGTTCTACCACTTTTCGGGATGACTGTATGTCTTTGTTCCGCTTTCTGTAAAATAGAGCTACCCACATATGAATCAGAAACTTCACTTCTTCCATATTATCAGGCAAATTAGTGTTCCAGGGCCTGAAATTTTAAAGAACACACACAAATTAAAATGGTTATTTTAGTTGATAACCATAAACAAGTGCTACCTTATGAACTAGGTAAGTTGAATTAGACAACTATGAACTTTTGGTTCAATTTGATCAATTTAATAAGCTAGAAGTAATTTTTGTTTTTTGGTACCAGGGTTCAAACTCAGGTCTTTGAGCTTGCAAGGCAGGTGTCAGAACTACTGAGCCTAATCCCCAGCCCAGCTACAAGTAATTTTTAAGTGATGCTCCTGGAATTCAGGCTTAAGACTTAAATACATAAAACAATTAAATAAAGCATTACTGCTATTTTACATTAAGCTCTAATCTAAAACATAATTCAGCCCGGGCCTGGTGGCACACGCCTGTAATCCCAGCACTTGGGAGGCCGAGGCAGGAGGATTGCTGTGAGTTCGAGAACACCCTGGGCTTCATAGTGAGTTCCAGGTCAGTCTCAACTCTACATAGTGAGACCCTGTCTCAAAAACCAAAAACCAAAAACCAAACAAACAAACAAACAAACAAAATCAATGATCATGAGTGTTGCTGAAAGAGCATTACAAATGGAAAAGTTATCTATCTTTAAAAAGACTAATCACTGGCAATGGCAAAACCTGTTATTCTCAATAAAAATGTCTGCCTGATATTAATACTAAATTACTGGTTTTATACACAATACTTCTTTCTCCTTCCCCAAATACGGCACCATTTTCCCATCTTCCTGTGTTAATCTCAACTGAAAAAGTTACAACCATTTTCAAGTTTTACTCATACTTACCCATGCAGTGCTCTTACAATAGTTTTCTCCAGTGGGTTGTTTGTGTATTTGCTATCTAAGTTGAACGCATATTCTGTTTCACATTTGAAAGTGACCTTATAGGAGCCATCACAGCTAATTATAGTATGGGAGCAAAAAACACTTTTCAGGTTGGAAGATATAAATCGACCTCTGCGTGGTACCAATGAACCCTCTGAAAGCTTCTGTAGAGGGGAGGTGTTCTGTAGATGCCGAAACGGTGTGACTTTCCCCACTGGAGTTCCAGCTTCAGGGCCTTTTGTTCCAGTCTTTGCAAAAGCAGGGCCTGATAACCCTCTCTGCTGTAGATACTTCTTTGAGTGTTCTCCAAGGAGCAGAGCATATGAGTGCTCTACAGTTATAGGACAGTTTGGTCCTGTGCCCAAAGGCTCTGACGTTTCCTCATGGAGTGCTGACTGGGCATCAGCAGGCATCTGACTACAAGTAATCAAGTTTTCTTCTTCTTGGCTAACAATTAAGCCTGACCCTGAATTACTCTTCGGATCGCAGGATGATTTAGATAACAGCACACCTTTTTGACTTTTAACTCCACTATGATAATCATGGTCAGGAGTGCCACACAATGAACTTTCTTTGGAGAGTAAAATATTGTTTTGTGGCAATTCAGAGGAGCAGGGAAGGTTTCTAGCCTCACATAATGGTGTGGAAGAGGCAGCAGAGCTTAATGCTAGATCAGCTAACATATTTAGGGCCTGGGAGTCATAGTTTACAATGGAGTCTTCAGGAAGATCTTTTTGAGCCACTGTGGTACTTTGTGGTTGATCTACATTTATGCTATTTCCATCTTTTTGACCATCTGATGAAATCTCTGATTGAAGCTGTAAAGCAGTTTCTTCTTTGGCTTCAGTATAAAAGAAAAAAGTGAAAAGATATAACACACTTTTCATAGAATTAATTTTCTTCCACATTATTACACCTTAGTGAAAATTAACATTTATATATTCAAGAAATGTCTCTTGATATATTACAGTTTATATATTAGAATTTCATTATTGGATTCAGGTTTATTTCAACCCTCAGATACATATATTATAAAGTACTGATAGAGGAACAAATCTTAGGGGACTTATATACTAATTTAAAAAGACGTCACCATTCAAAATGCATGTATTAAGTTATTCGTAACACATACTACTAAGCTCAAGAAATACACACAGGGGAAAAGAAAAACCAAAGTAAAACGAGAGTCCTGCCCTCAGGGAAGCCTGCAAGCTAGTGAGGTTGTAAGAATTTAGAAGTTGGAAGTATGTATTAGATAGCTAACCTATTTTCTCAGAAACCATTTCCTTTAATAAGTCATTAGAGGAACCACCTAAGTTCAAATTAGAGTAATTTTTAAACTACATTAAGCTTAAATTATAATATGTAATGATATGAAAAATTAGGAGTCACAAAGATCCAGACTTGCCAGTTAACGTTATCACCTTTTTACTCTATATACAAAAAATGGTAATTTTCTTATGGACAATTAAATCAGTTTGCCCTTAACCAGAAAATTTACATTCTCCAATGGTCTGCTTTCATTAATCCTTCTTTTGTTTAATTTTTGAGAAAGGGTCTTGGTATGTAATTCAGGCTGGCCTTGAACTCACTATGTAGAGTTCAGGCTGGCCTCGAACTTGTGTGATCCTCCTGTCTCAGCCTCCTGAGTGCTGGGATTACAGGGTCATGAATCCTTCTTAAATGCTATTACTATTAAGAATAAAGTTCACAGGTATACTAGTCAATGATTCCCTGTTCCCAGTGAATGAATGGACAGAGAAGTCAATTATGTTCCTCTTCATAATTAATAGTCTGAAATGAATTGATAACCTGCTTGCAAAGACCAATAACTAATACATTTAAAGAAAAATCTCGAGCCTACAATGTTATCATTAGAATGAAAAGGGTGTGTAGAAAAGCTTAATCAACCACTGCCCAGCTTTTTTTATTTTGTTTTTTTTTTTGGCAATGGAGATCGAACTCGGGACCTTGTGCTTGTGAGGTAAGTGGTAGAACCACTGACCAGTTTTTACAGAAAATAGCAAAGTCCAAAGGGCTTGTAGAAAAAAAAGGAGCTCAAAGCAGAGACAACTCCCTTGTTAGCCCCACAGCTATAATGGAAACACCCCCACCTCCCCCACCCCAGGGTGGGAATCAAACCAGAAGAATCAGGGAAATTAAGACAAAAAACTGATAGAAATATAAAAAATGAGGGAATGAAGTCTCTGTGAAACAAAACCAAACAAAACAACAAGATATACAATAACAGGTCTTAATACCATAGATACAATCTCATTTATGGACCCTGCAGTCTGGAGGAAGAATCACACCACACGTAGAAAAGTACAGTTAAGGGAAGTAGACCCACACCCAGGAATAGACAGTGTGCATTCAGTGGCATAAAGGTAAAGTCTAAGGTGAAAACAGAACTTTTTAGCAAAAAGGTTATGTCTAACAGCTTGATAAACAGAAGCAGTCAGTTTTTTGTTCATATCACTATTCACTTAAAGTTAGAAATATAAAGTAACTTTTAAAATTAATAGCTTTTTAAGTCAAATACAGGATTCTGGATTATTGAGTTTTAAGCAATTTGTTTACAATTTCCTCAAGACGGACTAACAGCCTTTTACTTTTTATAATGAGCATGATTTAGACAAATACTCCCAGATACTACTAGTTTTTACTCATAAATACAGCCATTTATACTATTTAACTCACAAAAATTCATGTTAGGCTTCATACAAATTAAAAAATAGGGTCTATTTCCTGAAAGTTAGTGTTTACACTTTCCTATTTGTTCACAACAGGAAATCAAGTTATTTATTTCAGGGTCTGAACTAAAGAATACAGAATGAATTACTGATGAATTTCAACTGCTTTTACATTATTTTAAAATGTATCTTGCAATCTCTATCACATCTGTATTTTAGTGTTTACATGTATAGGAAGAGTGTTTCTTACCAGGTTGTGGCTGCTTTCTGATTCTGGGATTCTGACTGCCTTTTACTGTATTTACTCTCTGTTTTTGTGGAGATTTCTTCACAGGTGGCTTAACCCTTGTAACAGTTTTGACTGTAGATTTCTCTTGTCTCCTTGCCCTTTTAGTATTTGTTGCCACTGGAACCTCTTTAGAAATGGGAACTTCTTGGTTTCTCCTATTCGATTTGGTTTTCTGTACAAACTGTGCAGTCAGCACTTCTGCACCTTAGGTAGAAAAAGACACCACTTTTTTAAGGGGAAGGGGCTCAGATATTTTTCATCATAGCTTTCTCTTTATTTCTTGTTTTAGGGGGCAACTGTAAATTTTTGGGAATAACTAAAAGATTTTATTTTTTAAAAACAAATTAAATGCTCTCACAGAAATATAAAAATAGGAATTTCGTAAGAGTCTGCTTGTAGCTTTATCAGGTGAAAAAGAAAATTATCAGGGAGCAAAAAACAAAACAAAACAAAACAACACCAAAGGCCGGGCGTGGTGGTGCATTCCTATAATCCCAGCACTCGGGAGGCTCAGGCAAGCGGATCACTGTGAGTTCAAGACCAGCCTGGACTACATAATGAGTTCCAGGTCAGTCTCAACTACATAGTAAGATCCTGTCTCCAAAAAAAAAAAAAAAAAAAAAAAAAATCAGGGTAATAATATAAAACCCACAGCCTAATTTTTAAAAATTCTGTATAATCTTTTCTGATTGATGCGGCAGTAAAACTAAACATGTTAGCTCACTGCCCTGGGAAACAAATAAATTATGTTTAAATAAAAAGCAACACAGCCCCTTATATAAGGTTATATGGTTAAAACTATAATCACCCTGTAGAGAGGAGAGTTTGTACTCACAAAAAGCCACATTATACATTTCATTACTCATCAATATCTCAGTACCATCCAAAAAATAAGCTTAAACATTTTTTCAGAGAAAGACTGAGGAAAGTCCGCACCTCCTATTATTTGCTACAAATTTACCACCTTAACAAACAAACAAACAAAAATCATCTCTCTTACAAGACGATCTGCTTTGCTTCTTACATGGAATTAAGAAAATAGCTACAAGCAGAGGTAGTAGGTAGGGAGGCAAAAAAATGCCACTAGCTTACAAGCACACAATAAAACTGTCAATTTTTTGAGTTGAAAAAATTAATAAATGTCCCCTTTAGAACTTTTCCCCATTGGCTTTTCATAAATTCAGTTGTTTTCACCAGTAAATTTAGCCCCAAAGATATACAATCACCCATGAATGTTAGCAAATACTTTAAAATTATACAAAAAAACACCATTTCTCATTCAGAACATTATCCATGATGTTAAAGAACATAAGCTACTGATGAGTTTTAGGGATATGTAGAAAAAGAGAAACATTTCATTTCATTCTTTTGAAGGGGTTAAAGAAAGGAGTGGTTTTAAAGAAAGCTTTCAGAATCTCTTAATGTTATAGATTTCTCTAGTGCTAATTATCTTCCTCCCTATTAAATTATCATAAAAAATAAAGCACCATACTGGTTTTAAAATAAAGACTTCTCATTACAGTTCAGTTATATTTCCTAAAATATTCCGCATAGGGCAAATATCAAGCAGGAAACATATTTAAAACTAAATTAAAAGAAAAAGAAAATAACATCAGACAACCAAAACCCATTTGTACAAACAAGAAGAGAAGATCTCTCATAAAACCAGATCCTGGGCCAGGACTGGGGGTGGGTGGTATTCTATATGTATTACTAAATGCCATCTTTCTCAATCATGTAATAATCCAGTGTGTGTGGGTTGTAAAACAAATTAAATTATCACAACCAGAATTCTTTCTTAAACAGAAAACATTAAATTGTATTACAGAGTAAATGCTCTTTGAAATTTCTATTTCAATCATGTATGAATTTGAGTATTAGAATACAGTAGCACTTATAAAGATTATACAGTAATTTAAAACATTTGGGAAACAGTAAGAATGTATGTTGAATTAGAGATAATTTAATCCCCTGAAGTAAAATGATTTACCCAGAACAGAGGCTCATATGGTTGGCCTGGAATGTACTTACAAACAGTTGCACAGTCTGACCCCACGCTTTGTACTGCCGTACTTCCCGCCAACCTCCTAAATACACATGCAGCACACTACTTCTCAAACCACAGCAGGCCATGTTAGAAGGTTAAAACCTTAATTATTCAGAATCCTGTTGATCAGCGTATCCTACACGTTACCTCTTTGGAGACTAACATTTTCAAATTCAAATAGCATAGATGAGTTGGCAAACATTCTGTGAAGGGCCAGAAAGTACATATTTTCAGTTGTGAAGGCCACCTGCTAGTCCCAGTCACAACTGCTGAACTTTGCCAACGGAGAGTGAGAGAAGCCAAAGGTGAAACAGGTATGACTAAGTGGTGCCTTGTATGTTTAGTTCCCTGCCCTTTTAGAGAAAACACACTAACTATAATTGGAGATGATGCCGTGGCAGGCTGGCTAAAGTACATTTGTCAAAATACTTAATGACTCTGGAATCTGATTCTTAGTTACTTTCCAGGCACATCAAAACCTCTTGTGGAACTTTTTCAATATATGACTATATTCCATCTCAGCGGGCTGGTTTTAAGATACAGCTGATGATTTTTTTTCTTTAGTATGGGGGATTGAATGTAGGCCTTTGCGCTGAGCTACGCCCCCAGTCCTTTTTCTATTTTTTGAGACAAGATCTTGCTAAGTTGTCCAGGCTGGGCTGGAACTTTCAATTCTCCTGCTGCAGCTTCCCAGGTGATCATTTAAAAAGCTCCAATGCATACAAATGAAGTGATGCTTGATCCCAGACTGCTTTCGTGTTAAGGTCCAGGAATTTCCCCTCTCTTCAGTGTTTAGGTTTCCCTGTTATTAGTATGCTTGCTTTCTTTTTCTTTAGCAGATCTCCCATTTCCACCTCAATTTGTCAGAGGATGGTACAGAAAAACAGATAACCATCTTTCTGAGAATGAAATATAAATATGTGATAGTCTGAGGGGTTTTACAAGTAGAACATAGCTCTTGATGGGCAGGCTTTTAAGATATCTGATTATCTTATTTCATAGTTTTCAGCAATTACTCCTCAAGCTTTGGCTTTACCTAAATACTTCTCAAGCTTTGGCAGGTATACACATTTCCTAGAGAGACATGACAGTATTTCTAAAAAATTTCTTTCTTTCTTTTTTTTCAGACAGGGTCTCACTATGTAGTCGAGACTAACCTGGAACTCACTATGTAGCCCAGGCTGGTCTCGAACTCACAGTGATCCTCCTGCCTCAGCCTCCCGAGTGCTGGGATTACAGGCATGCACCACCACGCCTGGCTTATAACAAATTTCTAATACTCTGCCATGCTCCAGTCCACAGAAATCCAGACAGGAACAGGCTTTGAATACAATAGTTACTACTTTAATAATCTATATAAATTGTACTTACCCCTTTTTCTTTTCTGAGGTAACTGTCCTTTAACTAACTTAAGAGTTGGTGGAGAGTATGATCTGCTGTCTGTTCCAGCTGTAGCTCTTTTGGCAAATGGGCGGCACAGGTTCACTCTTTTGCTGGGCATTATGGGTAGCATGCTGGCCTTTCTCTTTGGCTGCACTCTCAGATTTGATGCTGCACTCAATGGAACCACAGCGCCCTTCTTTGCTTTAAACATTTCTTCAGAACTCTTTTCTGTTTGAGTTTCTTTTCTTACTTCTGCCTCTGAGTCAGGAAATTCTGGATCTGGAGTCATAACTAAAGAAAATCCAGCATCACAAATTCCATCTGAAATGTACGGAGATGGAGGACGTTCTGCTAACAAACCCAAAGCGGTAGACACTTCCAATGTATAACCACTAGGATCTGAAAAATAAGACTTCAACTGAGTTAAAGACTCTGTAGAGCACTTTTCAGGTGGAGGAACCAGATCAAAACTACCTGACAGTTTCCTAAAGAATGTAGTCTCTTTCTTTACATCCTGAGGAGCAGCAGTCAAAGAAAGGCTTTTGTCCACCTTGTTCAGTTCTTGGAAATTATGCTTTACTAATATGTTTGGATGAGTTCCTTCTTCAGGAAATAATTTCTTTGCTTCTAGAAGAGCACAATTAAGAGTAGATAAAATGGGAGCCACCTTCCATGAGATGTCATCTTCAATTTTCAAAGCTTTCACCTCTAAAACAGACATCATATATATTAAAAGCCTGATGTTTCTTTAATAAAACATGTAGGGAAAACGCTTTAAACAGGATGGTCAAATATCCTGAGAGGTTCCTAATGATGACCAATTGGCAGCGATCACACTTATGAGTATATTTAACATATTCACCACCCACCAGGCTATAAACCATATGTCTTGCTGCTGGGAGGCTTGAATTACTGATGTTACATGCATGACTGCTCTACTGGGTTGCTTTTTATTAATTTTATTAGTAAAAAAATGGATAAAAGTGATTATGCTCATTTGTACCACTAGTGGTAGATAGTCAGGCACTTACCAGCAGTGATTCAAGCTGACAGGAGTGTGTAAATACGTAACTTCATAAATTTTGAAATTACAGGCATATATTGAACTGAAATAGAACCGTATGACATGCAATTGCTAAGTTAGAAGAAATAAACTAAACTGTATCTCTAACTTGAATCTCACTTGATCAGGAACTCAGCAGGATGTCAAAGGACCTTTACAGTAACAATAACCACAATGGCTTTTAGAGAAGATGGATTTGCTTTTCTATTTATTTTCTGCTTTCAAAATACAGTTTATTTGTACCTATGCAACTCTCTCTAAATTTTTTTAGAAGCTAAAATGCTAATAAACCAAATTGAAAGGACCTAAATAATCCTCAAATCTCTTTGAAACAATAGTTGCTAATTCTATCACCCTTTCTAGCAAATTAAATTAAAAAATTAAAACTAAGTAAACCAATGGGTCTATTTCTTCTCTTCCAGCTCATTCTTTGAACACTCCTTTTTTTTTGGTACCAGGCATCAAACTTGGGCTTGCAAGGCAGGTGACGGAACCACTGAACTGAATCCCCGGCCCAGACAGTACTTTTTAAGCAAATCAGTAACTGAAAAGAACCAGTGTGAGAAAAAAAAGAAAAGGTTGGGTTTTTATGAACTTTTTATATACTAGAGTTATCAATAATATGAACTGACAGATAACAAAAACCTCCAGTACCCAGTAATAAATGGGAATTATCCCATTCTTTTTCAAGAGAAAGCACCTGAGAATTATAAAACATCACGTCAGTCTCAGTTAAATAATTAGTACTACAGCAAGTATTAGTTAAAGGAAAAGGAAGGTAAATAAAAACATGCAGGAAAATATGGTTAGATATTAAGTTCCTTAAGAAGTAAAGAAGATATAAAATATAAAAATGTCCTTATGTATTTTAAAGCATACAGATAACAACAAAGTAGCATTTTCTAGGCAACTTCGTTATTGTAAGAAGTAACTTAGCAATGCAGCATTATTTCTAATAGACTATTATAAAATCTCTAAAAATCTTTAAGTTGGCTAAACAAAGTATTAATCAATGTAAAACAAGTAGCTTTAAAATTCTGCATGACCTTAAGTAAAAAACATTTTAATGAGGCTGAGGAGCAAATGAAAAAGAAAACATTCCAATATTTATTCAAATAGAGTTCCTATGCTCTCTTTGGGTACAAGTAGCAATGGTTTTTATCCAAGTGGCAATTTACAATGAAACAGAAGTCAGAAATCTTGCAGGGAGAAGCTCTAAGATATAAAAGCTGGAAGTCGGTACTGGTCAGATGTTTAACCTTTGGCAAATTTAAGTCTCACTTTGTCATTCTTTTTAGGGTTGCTAAATCATTTACAAATTTTACAATATATAATAATTCAAATAAACCATTGTGTTATTACAATTGGTAATGTTTTGCTTGTTCTCCAAGGAAGTGATACCCAAGGAAGTTCAGCTCCTGGCTGTGAATAACTTATTACAATTTTTAATAATCAGTTTTAGCTAAACATGGTGTAGATCAAGGTCCTGAGTTCCTGATCTGTAGTCTGATACTTGGAAGGCTGAGGTGGGAGGATCCTACGTCCAAGAATTCAAGACAAGCTTGGGCAGCATAGTGAGATCCTGTCTCACCCTCCCACCCTTAAAAAATCAACTTAAAAAAATTTCCATGCCATATTGGCTGGAGATACAGCTCAGTAGTTGGACACTTGTCTAGCATGCATCAGAAAACACAAAACAAAAAAACCACACAACATGATTATAAAACAATGAGAATTTCCTGTTCTGATAAAAGGCAGACACTAAACAATTTATTGATAATAAGCCTAAGGATTGTAGTTGAAGTTATCGAGTATTCTTGAAACTCCAACTTGACAGACATAAACGAGATTAGTGTTTCTCAACCTCTTCATTTGTTATCCTTCCCTAAGAGCCTTTTCAGACATAATTTTCTCATAACTGCCCTCTGAAAATTTAACACAGATGTGTATCTGTTTAGAAGCCACATGAATAATACTTTTTCACCACAGAGCTAAGTTTTGGTCCTCTAGGGAGGCAGTATCACCCTCAGAATGTAAAGGACAAATATGGAGACCAGCAGTACAGAGAGAAGGAAGGGTATCTATGAGGACACCGAGTCGCACCCATCGTAGCCTATGGGTAAGGTGTATCAGCAACAAATGGATTCAATTTTGGCAAGCTCAATTTGGGCAACCTTGGGGAAAATCCCAGTGGAAATGACAGCAGACACTGAAAACAGAGGCCTGAACCTCAGAGGAAAGGGTAACCTTCAGACCTTCAGGAGGTCAAGAGCAGCCAACTCTGTAGCATAAGGGAAGAGTTAATTAAAGAGAGAGAAAAAAAGGTGAACAGTTAACATTGTTATGTGGTACTAAGATGTCAAGTTGGATGAGGACTAAAAACAGACTGAGTGAATTGGATGCCACTGTTATCCTTACCTGTTGCCAAGGGTGAATGGAATAAATGTAACACATGTAGACTCATCTGTTCATCTCCAATATCTATAGAGAATGAGAATCAAAAGGAGTAAAGTTATTGCTTCTGATTGCATAAAACAAACGTACATATATTGAAAAAAATTGTCCCCAAAGTTAGTTTTCCTTACCTGGCTCTGTTATTAAGGCTGCTGATGAAAGTAAAATGAAAAATGCCCGATCTTCTAAGCATTTGATGATTGCCTTAAACATTAAAAAGAAAAAGAAATAAAGATTGTTTAATAGCTCTCTCCTCTACTGTACTCATTAGTGTATTTTGAGCTCAAGAAAAAATTTTTCAAATGTTAGTGTTTGTAGGAATCATGAGAATTTTGACTCCAATATCAGAAACCACAAATTCCTTAGGTCAAATAATCATGCCCCATTCTGGCTAAATACAATAACCAGAACAGCAAGGGTAAGTTTTAGAACAGTGTTCAACTATGTAACAGGTCAATGAGGAAAGACTTATTTCTTTTTGTTCCCAGTGAGACAGTTTAGATTTCCAATCATTAACAAAAAGCCAAAACCTGTAATCCCAGCACTTGGGAGGCTGAGGCACCAGGATCACTGCAAGTTCGAGCCCAACCCAAGCTACATAGTGAATTAAAGGCCACCCTGGACTACACAATGAGATCCTGTCTCAGAAAATAAAAAAACAAAAAACAACAACAAAAAACCCATGGATGTACCATGTGGCCATTAATTCAAGATGAATCAGATCTATAAATAATATATTTTATTCTTTACAGTGCTGGGGACTGAACCCAGGGCTTCACACAAGCTAGGCAGCCACTCTACTGCTGAGTTACATCCCCAGTCCTAAATAGCATCCTAAGATCGTGTTTTTTGGGTCGGGGATTTAGCTCAGTGGTTCGGCCACCTGCCTTGCAAGCACAAGGTCCTGGGACTCGCGAGGCAGGCGGCAGAACCACTGAGCTAAATCTCGGGCCCCTTAAGCTCATGTTTATATAAAAATTATTACAGAATCCTGGAACTAGAAAGACCAGATGATACCAACCTTCCCAAATCCTTTCTACAGCATCCTAACAGATTAAAAAAAAGAAAATAATCACTTCTACTGGCAACAAAAAATTCAGATAAAAGAATTCTACCAGAGTCTTCAAAACAATCTTGAGCTCCAATTTTAATGATTTTAGCAAGCAGGGAAATTTTGTCCTAAGGAAGTTATCTAGCTATCATTCTAAATCATTAAGTTGAAAGTTCTTTTTTCCACTGTTCATCATATGTCCATAACAAAGATAAAATCCAATGTTCATACAACAATTTTAAGGCAATAAATACCTTGAGACATACAAGTAAATTGAAATACAAAGGGGGATGAAAATATGCTAAGTCAGTAAGTACTATATGAACACATCAATAAATACTAAACAATGTAAACCCTTTCAGCAATCTAAAATAATTCAAACTAGATACAACCAATACTTAGATGTAAATTTTTCAGTTCAAGAAATAAGGGGAAAGAAAAAAAATGAGAAAATGAAAAAATGGAAATAAAATATTTGTAAATAGGGAGGGGTGGGGGAGTGAAGGGAGGGCAGGGATAAGGAGAAAAAACGAGAACCAAGACCCGTCAAAGGTACAAGACCCCAACGATGAATGTAACTGTACTGTGAATCTAAAATGTACCAATAAACTCAATGAGGAAAAAAAGTCAGCACAAAAAAAAAAAAAAAAAAAAAAAAAATACACATTATATAAATGATTCTTGCTGGGCACGATGGCACATCACTGTAATCTCAGCACTTGGGAGGCTGAGGCAGTAAGAGTGCCACAAGTTCAAGGCCAACCTGGGCTACACATTGAGTTCAACACCAGTGTGAACTACATTAAAAAAAAAGATTCTTACCAATTGATTATTTTTAATGTATTCTGTTAATGTATCTACTTCTTTCCTTTGTTTGTTTGACAGTTCCACCTCATACAAATTAAAGCACAAATCTTGGTAACAGACTGTAAAGGAAATAAAAAAAACATTTCTTCAATATATTGTTATTTTTGCAACTAATTCACTCATTTTGTCACAAAAGTGAGAAGTAGCAACATTACTCAAAAAACCTTTATGATTTAATGTTCTTAGTTATAAAACTCCTTAATAAAAAGTTACTAAAGTTTTTTTTGGGGGGGGTGGGGGGGAAATAGAATCTCACTATGTGGTTCAGCCTGGCCTGGAACTCCCTTTGTAGTTCACGCTGAACTCAAACTTGTGGCAATCCTCCTACCTCAGTTTCCCAAGTTCTGAGATTATAGGCATGCACCACATGCCTGGCTCTGAATTAGTTATTTTATTTTATTCATTTATTTTTTGTTTTTTTGAGACACAGTCTCACTATGTAGTTGAGACTGCCGTGGAACTCACTATGTAGCCCAGGCTGGTCTCGAACTCACAGAGATCCTCCTGCCTCAACCTCCCCAGTGCTGGCATTACAGGCGTGCGCCACCATGCCTGGCTGAATTAGTTATTTTAAAACAATGCTCTTATTTACACTGACACCGCTCACAGCTACATTAACAAGACAAATACATCAATGTTCCATGAAGTAACCTCAATAATCAAAAAATTTTCTTCTCATGTTTATTTTCTTTCACTTGGTTTTAAAGTATGTAAACAGTTACAAAACTGCTTTTGTTCTTCAGAAGAATGGTTGTGAGTTCCCAACTATTTTTAATGTCTTTTAATAATATTCTCATTAAACCCTACTCTTTCACCTTAAACAAAACTATCATCTAGTTTCTACTCAGCTTCCAAGAAATGAATATGGCAACTCTTGAATTTTCTCAAAAGAGCCTTTTAAAGAAGCACCTATGATGAAACAAAGTATGTATGTACAGGTATGTATGTTTGGAAGACAGAGAAGAAAGTAGAACAAAGCCCAGAACATGCAGTGTACCATCTTATTTTAACAGACCTTTTTGCTCCAAGTAAATCTGTTTTCTAAAAGCAGCTTCTGGCAGTCTTTCTTTCAAAGATGACACTTGCATTACATACTTAAAATCTAGTTCATGTGGTCTAAAAAACAAAACAGTATCAGGTAATATAATAAATATTCAAACTATAGCTCTGTAATTTTTAGTTTTTTCTTGGCAGGAAGAGTTTTTAGTTTTCTAATGTAAATACAAATAAAAATATAATTATCATGGAAGCCCTTAAATTAACAGACTTCAGGTTAAACAACATGCATTTTTTTAACAATATAGAATTTCATCCTTCATCCCGATCCCCGGCATATTTGCTTTGCTCCCGATTTTCTCTATAGATTAACTTTTCTCATTTTTTTGAGAGTAAGATGCCAACCTGAGACCCTTTTACCCCAAATATTTTTTCATATATTGCCTTCAAGAAAGGGGAAATTTTCTTGCACAATGATAAAGCAATCAGCAAAATCAAGAAATTCACAGTATTATTACTTAACTGACCTTATTTAAATTTTGTCAAATATCTCAGCAAGATCCTTCACAGAAAAAGAAAAGAGTTTCCTACTTAGGATAACACAATGTATTTAGTTATCTATTTGTTCAGTCTCCTTTTATCAGGGACAGTTTCTTAGTCTTTATTTTTAAAGAGTACAGACAATTTTGTAGAATGCTTTTGTGTCTGGGTAGGTTTAATGTTTCCTCTTGATAGGACATCACAGAAGTGTTACTGTATCATTCTCTGTGCAGAATGTCAGAAAGCACATGACACCTACTGTGTTAATGCCAAAGTTAATTTAACCACTTAAGATGAGATCTGTCAGTTTTCTCTACTGGAAAGTCAATTTTCCCCCTTATGATTAATAACCAAGTCGGATGGATAGATACAAACATTATCTAAGCTTCAATTTACTATTTTTGGCAAGCACGTATTGATTATCACATTTTATCAGTTTTTCAACATTCAGTAGTTGCATTCTATAGTGAGGAAAAATTCTCCTTTTCCATTTATTTACAGAATTCTTTATTTTTGTGGGTTACAATATGCTTGCTGCCTTTTCTTTAAAAAGGTCAACAGAAAATAAATTCTGATACATTTGTCTTTGTTTATATTTTAACTAAACTACCTGCCTGAACAAAAAGAGTTAATAGATGTCTTTCACAGTTCCTCAGGAAAAAATATATGATGAAAATTCATTATAGCAAAAATAGATGCAACATTTACTTTAAGTAGTATTTTTCTTTTTTTTTGTTTTTTTGTTTTTTTGTTTTTTTGTTTTTTTGAGATAGTCTCACTGTATAGTTGAGACTGACCTGGAACTCACTATGTAGCCCAGGCTGGTCTCGAACTCACAGTGACCCTCCTGCCTCAGCCTCCCGAGTGCTCGGATTATAGGTGTGCGTCACCACGCCCAGCTTAAATAGTATTTTTCTAAGAGAATGATATGGAATTAGGAAGTTGGATACTACAAATCTTAATGAACTTTTAACAGGATTCAACTGCTATAACCTATATAATTTATTGTAACCTATATATTTTATATATAAGGTAATTTATTCTGAGAGATCATTAGCAACAATCTAATCTTTTCTAAAAGATTAGAAATTATGTCTTTTGTGCCACAGCCTTGTGTTTTACACATCTACTCAAATGCATTCTATCTAAAACCAAGTCTAACTGCTAAATTTACCCTAACACTATCCACCGAGACCTAGAAAATAAAATTAAAACAAAAACAAAAACTAAGGGATATGGGCACCATAGTTTTAGTGGTAGGATGCTTTTTTAGCATGCACAAGGCTCTGGATTAGATATCTGGCACTGGAAAAAAAAAAGTAATAGAAGCATTAGGAAGAATACTTACAGGTGTGCTGGAATTACTGCACCATAATTGGGCCACAGAGTTATATCACAAAGCATACAACCTTGAATAGTTAATTTTCCTTTCCATGGAGAGATGAGAACTTTAAGAAATGAAGATTAAAAAATCGAAACATTATTTGTGAATGAAATATCTACTAATTACCCCCCCACAAAGAAGCAATAAAATACTTTCTTACCATTTTTACTGACTTCAAGTCTAAAAAAGAAAAGAAAATAGCATTTTTATAAGAACAAAAGAAACGAACTCAGTTAAAATGAGTATACACACATAATTACTCACATGCTTGTATGAGGTGGTGCTGCCATCTTCTTAGGTTCCCTGTACTGAAAAGCTACAATTATCTAAGGTCTGACCTTCCTGGATCACGCAATAACAGTGCTGCCTGAATGTTCATAGAGGTAATTCTGAAAGAACAAAAGTGAGTACTATCAGTACTTTGAATTGCATGTGTGTTAAATTTCTCAATTCCACTCAGCCTACAATTTAGCACATCAGATATTATTTGATCATAAAAAACTATACCTGACTTAGTTCAAAGGCACAAAAAGACTCTTCTTGTGAGAAACACTGCTAGTATCTGTAGCCACGTGGCAATCATAGCCAGAAGAGGACCCAATGTAGTTAGCTATATAGTTCTCAGATACAAACGTGACTTTTCCCTGGAATAAAAATATTGAAACTAATCAGATATCTTTAAATAACAATAACCTTTACTCTAGGAGTCATTTAAAAGTAGCCTAATAGGGATACAGATTTTTAGATCCTTAAAACTGTATTAACAAATCATGTCTGAGCATCTTCCTGAGACAAGAACCTATCACTTTTACTGTAATTTCAAAGAAATAGATGAATTACCCTAAATTAAGGAGAATATTTTTTATTTTGATGGAGGGGTACTGGGAATCGAACCCAGAGACTTGCATATGCTAGGTAAGTCACGCTCTCTTCTCCCACCGAGTTATACCGCCATCCCCTAAGAAAACCATTTGTTTAAGAGAAATACTACGAAGTTATGATACACTCATTGAATTGCTATTCATTGACTACAACAGAAAAGATGACAGAATCTAAAATTTCAAAAGACAAGTTCCAAACTGAAACATAAATCAATTGCAAATTACGCCTAGAACGTGCTTCACAAACCCTTGATCACTGAAGAGTCAACAGTATTTCCCATTTAGATTTCATATTCTTAAGGGTTAAAGTCAAGTTTGCCATGACGAAATATCACACAATGAATGATTTAAAACGTTGATTGAATTAACAGTGACATAGGTAACAGTAAGAAGTCAAAGAATGCAAACAGAACTACAGTTATAACCACAGCATGAATGAAGCACAGGTTACAACACAGACGTACCTCAAATCCATTACTCTAAATAAATGAAGTCATTCACTTCAATTAATAAATAGACAAATAAATAGTTTAATTTCCACTCTATGAATATCTAGAATAGGAAATCTACAAAGGCAGAAAGCAGACTAATGGCTGCCTAGGGCTAATGATAGTGGGGATTGGGAAATCGCTGTCAATTGTCATGCAGTTTCTTTTTTGGGTGATAAAAATGGTCTAAAATTGATTACGGCGATGGTTGCACAATTCTGACAATACACTAAAAAAAAGGGCATCCCCCCAGGTACCATTTAAAGTAGGTGAATTCTATGGAATGTGAATTATCTTAATGAAATTATTTTTTTAAATGTCAGCAGAAATCTAGTCATGAAGTCCAGCTCAGCCCTGATTTCTATATTCTTTAATACCTGGCAGTGCTAAACACCCCTCTTCTTCTGGGTCAGTGCTAGGACTGACCCAAGGCCTCGCACATGATAGTCAAACACTCTACCACTGAGCTACATCACCAAACCATTTTGAAAAATTTTTGAGAAAAGGATCACTAAGTTGTCCAAGCAGGCCTCATACTTGCAATTCCTGCCTCAGTCTCCCAAGCAGTTAGGCTTACAGATGTGTCCAGTTAACTTAGTCAAATCTCTTCTTGAGATTCTTCCGCTTTGTGTGGAACCTTACTTTCCAGTTTTCCATCCAATGGACTACTCTTGCTTATTCTTCCTTCTATATGTACACAATCTCCCTACACCTTGGTTCCACTGATAACCCAAAAGAGTGATTATTGGCCATTTTCTCCTTCTGTACCATCCTATGTAGCAATAATGTATTGGCTTCAACTAGTGCCTCAGCCCCAGCTCTGATCCCTATTTCACAAATAAGAAGGCTGAACATTAAAAATTTAGTTAATCATATTCTTAAGCATTACAATTCCTACCTCTCTTAACTCATCAGCTTCTCCAGCATTCAGCTTTTCCTTTGTGTGTCTTTCTTCTACTTGTATCACTAAAGTATATAGCTGAAACCTCTCTTACTCCTAACATTCTATAACTGCTAAGTTTGGTCAGTTCTGTGTTCTTATTGTCATTATGACATTTTAGAAGAGATGCTCGTGACACTACTAATCTCTAGGCACTAAAACATATTTTGGGTTTTAGATTAAAAAATTTATCTACAAATATGCTTAAAAGTTTTGACAAGCATTTTCTAAAAGTAACTAAACCTCATTTCATCTTTTAAAAGAAGACTTCTTTTTCCCTAACAGACTTACCTTTGGCTGGATCACTCACAGTGAAGATAGATGCATAACAATTCTACCTTTAAAGAAAAGATTTTTAAAGCAAACCTGCCCTTGTTTTTTATAAACCATTAGTCCACTGTATTATTTCTGAATTACTTCAGGTTTTGCTATTAGATCCCTGTTATTGTTATTGAAACAATTAAAATTAACCAGAATGTTGAAAGTGTTCATTTTATCTCAAAACTATGTAATTTAAACTTGAAAAACCTCTATAGAAACATAGTAGCTATGTAAACAATGAACCATAACAGAGAAATGTGAGGCCACTCTGTGAAAGCGACAAAGAACTCTATACTAATTCAAATCTCACCACATGTAATAAGACGAAACTAAAGAGAAACTATGAGAAGTTGTAAAATTCAAATCTTTTTGTATAAAACCACAATAATAATTTTCTACAATCTAATTCCCTTTCTTAGCTCACAGAGGAAACCCATTTCATGAAGTTCTTCCCAGTATGGTTATTTGTTTTTGTTGGTAAAAGTTTTGTATTGTGTAAAGAGAGAATAACCAAATACTTAAACATGGTATTTTCCTCTTGCAAATTAACTTCTTAAATGTAACTTCTGGACTCCTGCTAAAACGCTAAATTAAATGGTATTTTTCTATTCCCTAGAACATATTACATTCTTGTGACAACATTAAAAAAACTTTGCTAAGAAGGATTAAGTTTAACTACCAAAAATGATGGGCTTATGTCTTTTAAAATTAAAATAAAACTCACAGACACAGTATGTACCAAGTACCTCACCTCATTTAAGAAAATGCCATTTTTCTCAAAAGTCACTTGACTACAAGATCAGATGCAGAATCCAAGTAAGAGGTATAGAGAACTGAAATTGCCCTCTGGAAGAAAGAATCTGTACTTAAGGAGACTGTCTCAAAAACTGTAAAATATGAACAAAAATAATGTCATTATTTAAAAAAACTAAAAAATGGGGCTAAGAGGGGTACAATGAATATTACTCAGTTTATCACCCCTTCTTTTCCCTTATAACTAATAATTATATTTACTAAAATAATTACAACTAAATAATTAATGATGTTACAGCCACTGTGTCTGTATCATCTTAATGAATTTTAGACGACTTCTCCTGTAAAAAAATAACCTGAATAAATTACAACCAAGGTTGAAATTACTTTTAACACAGGAGCTAATGTATATATACCATACCATGCTACATCCTCTATACTTGTTTAAAACTGCACAGTATGCTATACTTCAGCTAATCAAAGGCAGATACCACTGCAGTGTCAGGATGGTGGTCAACAACTGCTTAGACCAGAGGTTTTTACCTTTCACTTAATTATTTTTAACCTACCCCATATTCTGTTTTTTTTTTTTTTTTTTTGTACCGGGGATCGAACTCGGGTCCCTTGCGCTTGCAAAGCAGCCACCAGAACCACTGAGCTAAATCCCCAGCCTGTTAGCTTCTTTTTGTGAGGCTTACTACTGCCCACTCATCAGGCACAAGCAAAATCATTTCATTTCTGTGTTCTCCTACTAGCCACGGGGAGTCTACTGAGCTTATGTGTTATGGGTTGTATTATAAACTTTTTTTTTCATTTTAAAAAATGAAACCACATTATGTTTTTAAAAAGTGCATTTTAAAAAAACCACACACATATGCTAACCTCAGAGATTGTGGCATGACCCTTTGGAGGGGCAAGTTAGAACACTTGATTTTTACATTCATTCTAAATTTTACTTTTGCTCAGTTTCACTTTCTCTTTTAATACCAGTGCTGTGCCAGGCACGGTGGCATGCTTGTAATCCCAGCACTGAAGAGGCTGAGGCAGGAGGATGCTCTGAGTCTGAGGACAGCCTGGGCTACATGTTGAGTTCAAGGCCAACCTGAACTACATAGTAAGAACCTCTCTCAAAACAAAAACAAACAGCACTTGTCTGGCAGGTATGAGTCCTGAGTTCAATCCCTGGTACAACAAAACAACAAAACCAAAAAAACAACAATAACAACAAACAAACCAGCACTGTTAAAAAAAAAAAAAAAAAAAAAAAAAAAAAGATGTGATGTCCCAGGTAGTTGGGAGGCCAAGGCAAGATAAATTGAGTTTGGTGCCAACCAGGAACGCTCATCTCAAAGAAGAAAAAAAATAAAGATATTCTGAATAGATTCAAATACAAAGCATTGGTGGTCATGGTGAAAAAATATTTTTTCTAAATATGTATACTCTGAGCTCTGAGGTTCAATATTTAAGAAATATGCTCACAGTTAAAAAAAAAAAAAAAGAAGTAGAGCAACTTTGGACATGCAGGCTTTGATTATGAATGTCTCTAAATTCTGCAAGGGGTTACTTGACAGGCACAGATTTTAAGTTTGAGAAATATTAAAAACTATATACATGCCCATTATTTGTGTCATAAGGCACAATAATAAACCTCATACTATCAGAGGGGCTGTAAAACTAAACCAACCAACCAACCAACAAAAAAACAACTAATAGGGCCAGGGATGTAGCTCAGCAGCACAGCAACTGCCTGGCAAGTGGGAGGTCCTGAGTTCAATCCCTGGTACCAAAACAAAAACCAACAAAACAAAAACTAATGCTGTTCCCCAAACTGATGTGGTCAAAGAAAACTTTTAAACAACAGCACGAGGAATACTATTTCAATTAACTTATGAATAAAGTTAATGATTTAAAACAAACAAGAACAAGCAGAAATGAATTATTTTGTGCTACTATATTTTTATTTCCAAAACTATTTATTTACAGCTAAAATGCTTTCTTTTAGGCCTGCAATCTCCAAAGAGTAGTATGTTTATGAAGGTAATAATTTTCTGGTTAGCAGAAAAGAATGTCAAAAGCAAAGTTGTTAGAAAACTGTAGCTGAATCTTTCACAACTTCATAAAATGACCTCGATTATATTCTTAAGAAAGCATAAATTTCCTGCTCTGTAAATTAGAAGATGGATGAAAATTTTATTCTTCTTCATCTTACTATTATTGAGACAGGGTCTCACGTTGTATTTTAGGCTGGCCTTGAACTCACTACACAGCAGCTTCAAATTCATGGTGATCCTCCTGCCTCATCCTCCCGAGTACTAGATCACAGGCATGCATTACCCACCACACTATTAATGTTCTCTTTCTCCACACAAAATACCCTGATTTATGAGTTTAATTAATGCGCTTCATAAATGAATAACCACCTTGTTTTTTGCTGAGCAATACTTAGCTTATTTAAACGTTCAAGCTTATCAAAGTATTGAGGAAAAGGTGACTATTCTATTCCACAAAGGAACCTAGAGCACTTAAGGAGATACCCTGAACAATGTCTGTCTGTAAAACATTCAGACCAGGAAAAGGGTAGACAAACACACAAACACAATCACAGACAAACGGTGGTCCATGCATCTGTAACAGTTAAAACATTAAACATAACTCAAAGTATGTCCTCAACAGTGAACACCAAAATCAAGGTAAATCTGTATGTACTGATATCATAGGTCATTATTGTTCTGCAAGCTAGTATATTGGATTTTGGGTGCATGGCTCCTGATTGTTGGTATGTGCTGTTTCCCAAAGGATCTTAAAAGAACCAGTGCTAAATCCCAAAACAAAAAGGTGAAGACCACCGAATATGCCATGAAGAACTGCTCTTAAGAGGTTTGCACAAAGCAAAAACAAAAACAAAAACAAACCACTATGAGAAAACAAGGCAACAAAATGCCTCCAAAAACTCCCAACTTCCCCAAAGCAGATCCAAAGGGCACCAAATAGAGGTGGGGCTAAATTATACAAAATAATAAAAGAAACAGAGAACTAAACATATAATAGACTTAACAGTGTTCTACCCTATTGTAACAAAATACATTCTTCTTAGCAGCACACAAAAATTCTCCAAAATGACACACATACTAGCCAATAATACTTGCTTAAATAAATACAAAAGAAATGAAATTACCCCATATGTACTGACAGATCTTAGTGCAATGAAACTAGAAATCAATGGCAAAGGAAAATACAGAAATTTTGCATAACATGATGATTAAGTAATACACTCTAGGATCAAATGATAACACCAGTATAATATATCAGGACCTATAGGAGACAATGAAAGCAGTCCTAAGAGGAAAGTTTATTGCTGTGAATGCCCACATTAGAAAAACAGAGGAAGCCCCCCAAAATAACCTAGTGATTCACCTCAAGGTCCTAGAAAAACAATTCAATCCAATTCAAACCCAAATCTAGTACAAGGAAGAAAGCTGTAAAGATCAGAGCAGAAATTAATGCAAGTAAGACCAAAGAAACAGTGAATCAAAGAGTTGGGTTGATCAAAAGCATAAACAAAATTGACAAATCCTTAGCCAAACATCAAAAGGAAAAAAGAGCCATATTAATGTAATTAGAAATGAAAAAAGGCAAAATCACAACAAACATTGCCTAATCCAGAAGATTATTAATAATTACTATGAAAACATGTACTCTAACAAATTGGAGACTCTAGAAGAAATGGAGAGATTCCTAGACATGTATGAATTACCAAAACTGAACAGTCCAGTAACAGAAAAGAAAATGGAGGCAGTCATTAAAAACCTACCAATTAAGAAAAGCACAAGAATGGATGGATGCACCACTGAATTCTACGAGAACTTCAGGGAAGATTTAACACCAATCCACCTCAAATTCTTTAATGAAATTTAAAGGGAAAGAGTAATACCAAACTCATTCCTGAAAGCTAGAATTATCTTGATTCCAAAAGCAGAGAAGAACTCAATAGAAAAACTACAGGCCAATTTCTTTAAGGAACAGAAAAACAAAATTCCTCAACAA